GCTTGCCGTGTTCCCGCTCCTCTGAGTGATGGCACAAATCCCATTCATATTTTTATCTCAGCTCTCGCCTCACTGCCATCATCCAGCATTAACCTGGATAATTTGGTCGTTGCTGCATGAATGCGTTTAATATTCATGCATTTGGAGGATGCATTTATCCAGAGAGATTTACAGTGTGTTTGAGGTATACTTTTTTATTATGGCCGGATGGTGTGACAGTATTCACTTTGCAATGGTAGAAATGTCAATTTGCACTGCTTACTTTCACTTACATCTGAGACAGACTGACAAACATATAATGTGAATAATGCAGAGTGGGTTGCGTCCCAAACAAGTCAAGATTTTGTTTAGGGCAAGACACTCTAGGTAAAACCATTGTTTGTTTGTTTTTCATGCACTGGACAATTTTTAGGGTTTTTGCTTCCATAACATGTCGTCTTTTTAGACTATTGGACAGAAAACATAGATAATGCACATTTAAGTGTTTATTTATTGCACTTTATCTATTTGCACCTGTAGATTTCAATTACAATATGTATCTTTGAAGCCCGCTTACATAAGCCGTAAACCAAAATTTACAGTATTCTGAAGGTTTTTACTGAGAGGTTTGTTCATATTTCATTCAGACTGATTTATGTAACATTTTATTCTGAAAAACGTCGTGAAATTTTTTATTTTTTTGACAGTATTTTCTGATTTATGAAGAAATCCGAATTTTCCGCTGAAAACCTTTAACTCTAAGTCAACAAAATCAAACAGGAATTTTGAACCTGGTTTTATCCAATGTTCAGATTTATCTTATGGAAATATATGCAAATTACTGCATATTTAATTGCATATTAATTTTATTTTTAGTTATCAAGTTAAACTAGATGAAAATGAGGTATTGCTTTGGAAATTTGCTGAAAGAAAACAAATGAATGTTTATTTTATTTCAAGTAATGAAAATGGTTTTTATTGGTTTTAATTTTAGTTTAATTTTTTGTTAACTATAATAACCCTGCTAATTTGCATATTTAAACAAAACATTTCAGAAAACTTGTAATACAAAACAATGGTCTTAATGTACTGTGATTAATCCAGTGGGGAAAGTAAGTGATATATATTTGTTAAAATTTTTAATTGTATAAATTTCACCTATAGTGTCTTGTCTTAATGTGGCAAAGCAATGTTGCGACTTGTTGAATTAATACAGAATTCAGCTGAGCATCATAGATGTGTATATCGGCTGTTTTACAAAGACTTGCTTGACTCGTGAGTAAAATCATTTAGTGCAAAAGATTTTAGTCACACCGATTGCATTTCATCAATACATTCATTCCTTGGCAACTGAACCCTTGACCTTAGTGTTGCAGCATCCCAGATTTATTAAACAAAGACCCGTTCGTGAACTAATGGCCCTTTTACAGATTTGCTGCTAAACCTGTGTAACTGCATTGAGTATCATCTCATGCAGTGCGCGCACAACCTCTCGCGCTCTCGCCGTGGTTTGAAAGATTAATTGTAGCCCTTTGCAGTGCGCTGGAACATGTGTCGAGAATGATGGCGCTTCCTCGCCGCCTCCTCCAGCCCACGGCTTTAATTAGCTAACGACGTGCACAGAGCTCACGCTTCACAGACCAACAAATGCAAGATGATATAAAGAGTGAGCAATAGCTGAGCAACTAGCGCCGATTAGATTAGTGAAACGAGAGAAGATGTGATGTAAAGACCATTTGCTGGGTGTAACGCGGAAACATAATGCTATTAAATTCACAATAAAATCGTATGTAGAGTGATAAAATACAGATAATAGGACACTGAGCTGCACATAAAGACCAAAGGCTGCATTTTGTTCAGATACAGACCTTGACGGGAAGCTTTTTTAGCATTTATGCAAGAAAATGAAGAGGTAAAGATACACATTGGGTGTGTTAATCATGCTTTTTGTTTTACTTCACATGCACCTACAGAAGATGCTCAGAAATGTAGTTTTGCACAAGTCTGCATCTCATAAACCAATGCATAGTGTTTCCAGACAAGCTTTATTTGCTATTATTTAGAAACAATACACAAAATGTGCACACATTAACTGTGAACGTAATTCTCAGCAAAAATGAATATCCTCCTGAAATCATTCAAACATGAATTAAAGGCAAAATTAAATACTGAAGTACAATAGTGACCATTTATTAATAGGACTTAATGGCGATATGTTGAATGTTCACAATATGTTCGCTATGATTTTGTGGGCAGTATTGTGTGATGATTTTAATGTTTTTATTGTCTGTTAAGTTTTCTAAAGTTACGTTTTATCTCATGACTCATGAGTAGGGAAAAACTGATATTGCAATATTTAGTTTTTCTGCTAAATGATTTGCGATATGACAAAATATAGGATTTTTTTTTTTTTACCAGCTTCAATAGGTATATTTGGAAAAAATAATTATTAATTCTAGGATGATTTGAGTGATTTTGCATGCGTCTGCGTAGAAAATAAAAACATTTTAAAAAGCTGAAACGACTTTTTATTGCAAACCATTTCAGAAGTAAACGATTTTTGAAAAACTTGGAAAATTTGGGTGTTCATTCTTGGGTATACTTTTTTCAAAAATCAACTCAAACCAAATGAAATCTAGTTTAAATAAAATAAAGTTTTTATAGGCCATATTGCCACTGTTTTTGACCCATTCAGTATGACTATAAAATATTATTTTTGCTGTGATTTTTAAGTAAAAATAATAAACAAAATAAGAACCATATTTCAGTTATACTAATGTAAATAACAAATAAAATAAAAAACATTCAATATGACTAAAATATGAATTTTACTGTGAATATTAAACATTTTCCTGCAGTTTTTGACCCATTCAATATGACTATAAATATATTATTGCAATAAAATATATATTGCAATAATACTAATGTACTGTAAAATTTAAAAAAATAAATGACTATAAAATATGATTCATACTGTGATTATTATTCAATTAAAATAATAAATATATTGCAGCAAAACTAAAGTATTGTAAAAAAAAAAAAAAAACATTTAATTTGACAAATAATTTTTACTGTTATTATTAAAAATAAACAAAATAAGAGATTATTTCAATAATAATAATGTACTCTAAAATAAAATAAAAACATTCCGTATGACTAAAATATAAATTTTACTGTGAATATTATATATATTCCCACTGTGCTTAATGCATTTACTGTTATTAATATTGCTATAAGATATTATTCTTACTGTGATTATTAAATTAAAATAATAAACAAAATAAGAAATATATTGCAGCAATAGTAATGTACTGCAAAATAAAAAAAACATTGAATTTGAAAATAAAACATGATTTTTACTGTTAATATTATACACATTTTGTTTTTGACCCATTCTATGACTATAAAATATAAGTAACTGTGTCTCTATCAGTTTTATTTCCATATATCATTCAGCTGTACTCATAAATATGAGAGCGTTCAGACAGGGAGGTTTTAACAGCATCTCCCCATTTCTCGAATGAAACCTGTGCCTTTGCATCCAGTTCTTGAAGTGTGCGGTGACTCAACTGTACCAGCCAACAGTTTTGAATGATTACAGTGTGTAACTGGGTCATCAACATTTGCAGCAGTTCCTTCACTTGTAGCACTTTCTCCTGTCAACCTTTTGTACTAGAAAGTCATTGTTCTCCTCCCACTAAATTATGGTTCCCGGGAGCCTTGAGAACTGTGACAGCCACAGCATCGATGTTCCCGCCGAGGCCGATCATTTGCACTGCTTTTATTGCGTTCAGATCCACTATGTTGTGTCTGAATGGAGAATATCAAACCTCACATCTCAGATGTTGCTGTTATGAAAGAGGTCAATCAGAGTTATGCAATCTGGACACCTGAGGAAACCAAGTGTGATTTCATCACTTTATGCCCATATAAATATTAGCATCTGCACCAAATTGCATCTTTTTGCTCCGTTTGAGTCTCTAAATAAATTTGAGCTGTTTTATTCCTCCCTATTCTCACTATATCAGATATATGAGCCATAAAAGCCTGATGGTCTTGTTGAAATATATAGCTGAGTATGGTCAGCATAACAATGGAAACTAGTCCCATATTTTCTGATAATAATACCAAGGGGCAACATGTTTATTGAAAATAGCAGAGGGCCTAAGACAGATCCTTGTGGCACTCCATACTTTACTGCCGTTAATTCAGATGATTTCCCATTTAATCGACAGTGTGGATCAAATAATGATACTCAACAAAAATACATATGCAAACCTTATATATATGTGTGTATATATATATATATATA